GGGACCACTATATAGTGACCTATGTAGTGAACTATGTAAGGAGCACCTCGGCAGTTTTTACACTTCTGGGTCTTTTTGGCAGTATGGAGAAAGACAATGGAGGACACCCACCTATACAGGAGTTTTATTGAGTTTTATTTTGAAATCGGCCTAAAATATAAAGACATTCCAGTGGTGCTTAGCAAGAGGCACAGTTTTCGCAAAACATCCAATAAGATTGATGTGACTTTTGCAAAAGTGAGATCCGAGAAAATTTTGCGAGATATTGCAAAACTTCCGTCAAATGAACTGAGCTTTAACTCGATTGATATTACCTGCCACTATGTAGCTCCAGAGGTGACAGTGGAGGAGAAGGGTCACACCAGCAGGGGGCGCTGGAGCTGCAGGGCACCGGTGGATCAGAGTGACGTCACTCTGGTGGGCGGAGACAGCTGTCTTGAACCCGGAAGCTGGAAGGCAGGTAACAGACGTTTAGGATACTTGGATTTAGGGGCTTGAATTAGAGTTTATGGCGCTTAGAGGAGAGACTGGTGGAGACATGACCCGGGGATGCTGGGTGCAAGGACTTCCGGACCTGAAGCAGGATTAAGGTGGTTAAATCTGGGATATTCCCGGAGCAGCTGGAGCCGGCAGACGAGATGGGCGGAGCTGGGACACCTTTCCTGATGTGGATTGAAAGTTATGAACTGAGGAGCCGACGCAAATCAAAATGCCTTGCAGTTTGTGGTGACTTGCGCCGCTTGGAGGTTGGATTTGACCGCTAGAAACTATGACTGGATTTTACAACTGTCTGAGAAAGATGAAAGGGATTCCGGACGTACGACAATCGAGATTCAGGACACGTGATCGTCGACTTCCGGCCCGCCTTGGTTTGAACGCTGCGATCCTACATTAAAGACAGATCAGACCGCTCCGACATGATCACAGTCAGAAGGTAAGAACAAATCTTCAAACACGGAGTTTTATAACCTGCATGAGAGATCCCTGAAGAGGAGATGAACAGCAGCAAGGATTTGCGGATCTGCAGAGACTGTTGCGGCACAATGAATGAATGAATGAATGAATGGACGAATGAATGAATGAATGAATGAATGGATGGACGCTGCCTCCGTTATAAAGCAGATAAGTGAGTGGGCTGGACTTAAGTAGTGAATGATTAGACAGAAAAGGGCCCTGTCACGCCCTGACTAACGCAAAAGCTCCATATGATAAAGCACAAAATTTACTAAGTGCAAAAATGTATGCTAAAGTTCATGTGAAGTTACTATGAGGCTTCATTAATTTGAATGAATCAAATCAAGTCTTTGAAGGGTATTGTGATTGAGATGTCTGGTTGTGAAGTTTGTAATCACTAAGGTGTGTCAGTGCACTAAAAGATGCTTTAAAGGCTTCTTGCAGTTTGTTAGAAAGTTAACATTTGGTGAACATGGTTTGAAGGATTCAGGGTAAACAGAATTATCTCAATCATGAACTGCAATAAACAGTCGATTAGTCACATATAAAATCCTTTGTCCACAGTGTGCCAGGGCATCATCAGCTGTGTTCAAAGTGAACAAAACAAATATTTGCCAAGTAGATGTCACAAAAGATCACACACATATATCAGATTATCACAGGAGGAAATAAATAGGAAAGCAGATACAGTTCGGGCAGTAAACGATTAGACTTTTTCTTTTTTGTTACTCTTGTATTCATTTGAAATGTAATGACAATCATGACATCATTATTTTTAAGACTTGAAGGTCACTAAGTCCAACAAAATTTCCAGAACAGTCCTTTCAAGTCCAGCAGTTGCAGAAACCATCAAATGCTCTGATGAAACCAGCTCTCAAGAGGACTGATTCCAGGAAAGGCAAAATTATTTCTGCTGCAGAGCGTAAGTTCATTACGGTATCAGCACCGGATGATTTCTTATTTTCCAGCTGGGGAGATGCCCTAACGAGAGCACACCACCAACCAACACACACCCATGTACATCCCCCAAAGGAAGTTGTTACAAATAATTCTACAATTTCCAATTTATCCAGTTTTCTTCCTTCTCTCACTGGTTTAACTGTCTTTTTGCAACTGTGAATTAAAGTAATGAAGAAATACACTGTAGGTGCTACGCTGCAAACAAACTTTTTTCAAACAGAGTTTTCTCATGTTTCTCACATGACACTACAAGCTCGCTAATAAAAATTACATGACCCCTGTGTATATTTTACCATCTGAACTCCGTTGAGGATGCACAATAAACTGCAGTGTGTCTCTATGATCCTCCTGCTCATCAACAACTGCTACAATATTGTATAGAAATGAATATTTATCAAATCAAATCAAGTTTATTGTCATTTTGCTGTACATACAATAGTAGTACAAACTTGACGAGAGAGCCTTTCTTCAGGATCCAAAAACTAAAAGCAATTAAAAGAAGAAGTGTTTGCATATCCGGATCAGCAGTTCAGCATTCTGACAGCTTGTAGAATGAAGCTTGAATGCTATTTATAGTGTACAGATTAGAGAATATTATAGATCCAAGGCAAAACTGACAGAAAGAGTGGGACTGAGAGTATAAGGGACAATTAAAATCCATCAGCTACTTCAGCACCACAGACAGCGACATGGATTTATCAATACACAGCTGCTGACATGGTCAGGGCCATAGATTCTAACTTGTACAAACCTCAGTCTGATAAAAGATTATTGAGTCTGGTAGATGAGAACAACATATCAAACTGAACCACTCCTCTGTTCATACACTGTCTCAGTTAGAGGGGATTGATTGGTGGGGGATAAGGGGGAAGCATTCTGGTTGTTTTGCCGACAGGAAGGTTGTCAGATCAGGCATATCTGGAGGAGACTCTGATACTGTTTACTCAGAATCCAAGGCACCTCAGACCAGCATGGCTACCCCAGCATTCTGCAGCGATATCTGGTTTGTGCTTAGTGAGATCTTTTTGTTTCAATATGACCCAACACACACTCCAGGCTCTGTAACAACTACTTGACCAGAGACACTGGATGAAGTGCTGCATCAGATGACCTGGTTTCCACAATCACCCAACCTAAATCCAGCTGAGATGGTTTGGGATGAGTTCGACCACAGAGTGAAGGAGAAGCAGCAATAAATGCTCAGCACATGCAAAAAGGATCCAAGTGGCGACTCCATGGAGCTGGCTGAGAGAGTGAAGAGTGTGCATAGTTGCTATTAAAGCAAATGGAGAAGGAAGAATCTAAAACGTAAACATGTTTGGCTTTGTTTACACTTTTTTTTTGCATTAAATGATTCAATCTATATAGTCGATCAGTTAGACATGAGAATAAAGAAATGAACATAAAGAAATCAGTAGATGTGTCCAAACTTTTGACTATAACTGTATCTGGAATTTACCTGCAAGCCTTCCAGGCAGTTATAGCCTGTTCTAAAATTCACTTTTTGTGTTTTCTGGGACAGTGTTGCCACGTTTAGCTGCTGTGGAGAGACACACACAAAACTGTGTACCTAAAAAGCAAACTTTAGATGCTACAGAGCAGCTTTACTTTCTGACTGCTGAAGCCGGCTAGTGTTGTGATGACCCCTGAGGTCATCTTGAGGGCGGCTTTAATGGTTTGATTCTGTTGGTTCTGCAAGTGGTTGCTTGGTGTAATAGTTCCTTAAGTGCTGACTGCAGTCTAATCATTCTCTGTGCTTCTGTCCGCAGGTACCACACACCCAGGTCTGGTTGTGGTGTTTTAGTTGTTTCCTTCACCTGCACAGATGTGATTCATGTATGCATCACACACAGCACTAAATCTACCTATTTGCATAATCCCATACTATTTCTGGCTTTAATTGGATTTGATTTAAGTGAATAAAAAAAAGCTTTAATTGTTATACTTGGAATGTTTCTCCTTTTGTTGTGGCCATTCTGAGCCAGGTCATAACAGTATCTATCATAACACACTGTTTCACAGAACGAGGACTGTGGATTGTCGTTTAAGATCCGGAAAAACAAAACCTGTTTCAATGCAGGTATGGGCCCTAAAATATTGCTTTAAAACAGGTTTGATAATGTGTGACCCTCTGCTGCTGAACTATTGGTTCACACAAAAATGAAGAAATGCAAATAAGAAACATAACTTATATAAAACTAGGGATGGAGAAAATGTCAGCGTTTGAGTCATCGGTCAAGGCCAATGGCTCATCTATCTATTAGATTACATCACTGCTGTCCTGTTTTCTCTGTGGTGGTGTATGTTTTGCCCAATAATTATAGTTGTTATGGAGCTGTGGTGTTGTGTTGTTGGAGTTGACAGAAACAGAGTCCATACTGCAGCACACCAGAAGATGGCAGTGTTTGAGCAAGAAACAGGTCTCCCTTAAATGCAAATTCACATATCTCACAAACATTTAAAGAACTAAAATGAGTAATAATGTTTATTTAGAAATAAAAGGTTTAAAGTCACAGGATAGAAAACATTTAAAAGGAGTTAGTTATAAAAACTACATGTGCATGAATGACAGCATTTCAGATGGAGATGATGAAGAAAAACAATTTAGTTTGACCTTAAAAGGCTTTCTAATATTTTTGTATGTCATTTACAGTTAAGACTTCATACAGGTTAACTCTGGCATAATGTAACTGTGCTGCAATGAAATGTCATCAATTGATGTGGATATTATGCGCCAAGATTTGGAGCATTTTCTTTCTTTGGATTGCTCTGAATTCAGCTTCTTTTCATCCCTTTTTTTAGGGGGGATTCTTTTTTATTATTAAAGACCACTTCAAATGCATCATTCTTGGACATTCTGTCTGCTCCGTGTAGCAGAACTACACTTTAAACCAGTCAGTGCGTTTGGAAACTCCTGACTGAGTCCTTTAATTAAAGACAATAGTCTGCAGCCAAAACCGAATGAGGTCAAAGATTAGGCTCTGGGTCGGAGTGATAAATTAAACATCGGATCCTAAATTATGAATTTCCTTTGAGGGCGGAGGAGCCGGAGCTTCTGTATCTTTAATGGTGAGGAGAGAGATGGGAGAGGCTGCGCGCTCATGGCTCCTTTTCTCGCTCCGCAGCGGCGGGAGCGCGCATTGGATCCCACATTCGCTGAGGAGGAAAAAAGCGCCGTCGGACTGCAACAGCGACTCACCGGGGAAAATGTTCCCTCCACCGTCCTTCATCAGCGCTGTCCACGTCTGCAAAAAGCATGTGAACGGATCTGCAACGGATGAGGACTCGAGTTTTTTCGGCCATTAAACTTGTTCCTGAGGACTGTAAACTCCAGGAGTGATTTATAACACACAGGAATTGAAGTTAACGTTGGACAGGTAAGATGATTCACTAGTTTCAAAGGCCGTCAGTGGAAAGTGAAAGATGCAAAATGCAGACCTTGGGCAGCATCCAGATTAAAGCTAAGATGGAAGAAATCGCCCTGTTGATCAATTACAACTCTGATTAATCACAAGGGCATTTTGCGGCTAAGTGCAAAAAGCCACAAGGATGCGCAGATTGATAGCCCTAATGGAAATATGACACTTTAACTACTGCTGAAAGTAAAACCTTTTGATTTGATGCGGGGTTAAAAAGCGTTTCTACATCACAGTTTGTCTGGACGCGCTCAGAGCAGCAGAGACCACATCTGACCCTGATAATACAGCATATGTGCAGACAGGCTTTTGTTAAATCACTGCTGTCCAAAGCTCCAATGCAATGTACAAAAACAAACTTTGCATGTGATGTTATTGATCAGATGTATGACTGCTTGTAATGTCTGCTAGTCCCTTTGTTTTTATCAGTTTCTAATGCATTTTGAATTGTGTTAAAGGGCATATGATTGCCTTTTTAAAAGCCACTCAGGAAAACACATTTAAATTTATGTGAGATGTGAAAGCAACCACAGTGCATTTCAGATGATATCAGAGACATAATGGATGTTGTATTAATGTGTGATAAAAAACATGCCTTTGTCTAATATCTGCTAATTGGTGCTTGCAGGTGCAGAAAATGGCACAAAGGCTCCTCCAGCTCCTTGCCTTGTGGACTATTGTGATTGGCGTCGTGCAGTGCTGTCCAGAGCTCTGTAGCTGCCAGGATAAATTTGCCCACCAGTTTGCTGACTGTGCTTACAAAGATCTGCTGGTGGTACCTGTTGGTCTCCCCTCCAATGTCACCACCGTGAGCCTTTCTGCCAACAAGATCAAATTGCTGAAAAGTAAAAGCTTCGTCAATATCACTCAGGTCACCTCTCTCTGGCTGGCCCACAATGAGATGGTCACCATAGAGACGGACACCTTGGCCCCTCTGATTCAGCTCCGCAACCTGGACATCAGCCACAACAAGATTGTGAACTTTCCGTGGGAAGATCTGCAAAACCTCACAGCCCTGCAGCTCTTGAAAATGAACAACAACGAGATGGTGAACCTCCCAAAGGATGCCTTCGCCACCCTCAAAGACCTGAGGTCGCTCCGCATTAACAACAACAAGTTCACCACCATTGTGGAGGGCACCTTCAGCGCTCTCTCCTCCATGTCCCACCTGCAGATTTTTAACAACCCCTTCACTTGCTCCTGCAGCCTGGAGTGGCTGAGGGATTGGATCGAAACAACTAAAATTTCTGTTCCTGAGCCAGGTTTGATAGTCTGCGAGGCCCCTGAACATCTGAAGGGTGTGCTGGTCACAAAGATTCCTAAACTGGTCTGTGAGGCCCCCACTGTCACTATCACATACCAGCCAAACATAGAGAACACTGACCTCTATGAGGGGTTGATGGTCATTCTAAATTGTGAGGCAAAAGGGAGCCCCAAGCCACAGGTCAGCTGGGAGGTGATTGCAGGAAATCAGAATTATCTGTTCCCTTTGCCCTCCACCGGAGAAGTAAATGATTTGCCAATTAATGATAAAACAACCAATAATAGATTCCTTGTTTTTACAAACGGCACTCTCATCATTCCCAGTATGAGTAAAAAGGAGGATGGGAATTACAGCTGCTCTGCGGTGAATGATTTAGGGAAGGCAGAGAGCAGCGTTAGAGTGGCTCTGGCAGGCACCCAAAAACAGGGCAGCAACTCCATCCTCGATTCAACAGTGGATAAGATCCGTCCATCAGGTAAAAAGCCTACAGACTCCAAGACCTCCAAAAACAGCGAGATCAACTGGACTAAGCCCATAGAAAAGACAAAGGCCAGTCCTGAGGGTGCAACAGGCAAAAATGAGGACACAGAACACGCTGGTGTTGTTCCTAAAGGCCCCGCTTTTGCAAGCAAGTGCGGTGTGAGAGAAAGCAGCGAGTACATCTCCAACCATGCCTTCAACTTGAGCTTAGAGGACCTGAAGCAGTACACCTTTGATTTTGGCGTGATTGCGTTAGAAGTGTCAGAGACGGAGGCCAAAGTGCAGCTAAATCCGCTGCGGCTTCCCAGCAGCAAATCTAACCTTCACCTCAGTAGTCAAAGTGACACCCAGGAGGAGACGGTGAATAAAGAGCCTGTGGGTCTGTACCAGTCCTCATCCAGCAAGACCACCCTGGACATGCTCTACCTCTGTGTAAATACAGGAAATGGACACTCCATGGTTCAGTGGTCCAATATAGAGGAGGGGATAAATGCCTACCGCTTCCACGGTTTGCAGCCTGGCACCAATTACACACTTTGTCTCACCTACGGGGGGCAGGACTGCCAAGTCCAAGTGGTCTTCACAACTAGGAAGAAGATCCCCTCCCTGCTTATCATCGTGGTTGTCAGCATTTTCCTATTGGGTCTGGCCACTGTTCCCTTACTGGGAGCCACCTGCTGCCATTTACTATACAAGTATCAAGGGAAGACCTACAAGCTGATCATGAAGGCTCAGAATCCGGATCAGATGGAGAAACAAATGACGAGAGATTTTGATCCCAGGGCGTCTTTTGTGGAGTCTGAGAAAACCTTCAACCCCAGCGAGCTGGGCGAGGGGGAGGAGGGGGAGGGAGAGGCCGAGGGAGAGGAGGGAGAAGGAGAAGGGGAGGCTGAGGGGAGCGTGGTGACCGAGTCTATCCCGGGATCCTCGTCCAAAACCAACCCGGAGGAGTTCGAGGTGGGCTCGGAGTACAGTGACAGATTACCGCTGGGCGCAGAGGCCGTCAACATCTCGGAGGAAATCAACGGCAACTACAAGCAGCCGAGCCGCTGAGCTCCGCCGGTGTCTGCGGGTATATTGTAAAATATTTTACTTTCAAGTAGCCTACATTCAAGCAGGTAACTCACACACCATTACTACACGTGAAAAAACGATGGCGTTTGATTATGGAAAAAAAAGGTGGCTCATTAATTTCCTTTTTACCTCAGAAAGTACTCCAACAATCACCGAGATTGTGAATTGATTCATGTGGCATTTTTAGTCTTCTGTAAGGTTAAAAATCAGTGAAAACGTTTACAATGCAAGCACAGATTTATACAGTTTACCAAACCTCAAAACTAACAGGAAAGCAGCAAAAAAAATGTTCCCTTTCTGAAGGACGGACACAAATGCGCAAATTGTGCAAAGAGCGAGGCGCGGAGAGTTGTGCGTAATTGAATGCAAAAAATAAATGGCATTCAATTTTTAATTTTAGGAGCACAAATACAAGCAAAAAAAAAAACAGTGCCATGTTTTGTAAAAAAGCCATTTTTCAAACAAACTGACATCAGGAACCAGTTTCTCTTTCTAAGCTGCGTGCGTCTGCTCAAGGCTGTGGAAGAATCTCCTCCAAACTGCCAATTAACATCCACTCAGGTGTCGGCACTCTGGCTCCACTCGACTGGTCAACGAAACTAGTCACAGATTGGGATTCAAATAATTCATATTTGATGAAATGATGCACGTATTTGGACTTGTCTGGGTTGCTGTTGCGCACACAGCAGCGCCCCGCTCGCTGTCCTGGGAGTCCAAAAAAGAAAAAAGAAAAAAGAAGGGAAACTGCGCTTTCAGCTGTGTTGTGCTTGACGGGAAACCCCAGGTTATTTTACAAACAAAATGTTGTTTCACGTAATGTAAGGCTTTAAGAAGTAATGTGCGACTTTAACCTCTTAATCAACGGGTGCTTGCTGTACTCTCGCTTTTTACAATGAACGTGTCCATGGCATGTCACACGTATTTCCTTGTGTGGTTTTTTCTTAGTGTAGTCTATAGGACTGTAGATGTGACTGTCTACCTGTGATGTAAAGCCATGTGAGTTGAAATTCTTATTCTTTTTTTTTACGACGATAATTAAGTTTCAACGAAGCCTCAACAAAAAGGGCGCAGCGAGCGTCCGACGGCTTCACTGTCTTGTAATTTTGATGCATATAGTGACTTTTTTGTGAACAATGTTGTAAAACAAACAAAAAAAAACGTGATCTTTCAAGATTTTTTTATATAATTTTATGTAAGTGATATTAATAAAACATATGAAACTATACAGGCTGTTGGATTTTTCTGGATTTAGATGAACTCCTTCAGAAAAAAAATGTAGAAATCATTTCTGAATTCTTCTGAAAAAAATAAAAGAAAGAAAAATCCAATACAACTCAGCGGTTTAGGTAAAGAAATCGATTCGAAAAATCCTAATTGTTATATTTCTTACGCGTTTTTACGCATCATTTTGGGAAAAGTTAATACGGAAGCTTGGTTTACAGTCTTTTTTTCCACATTTTCTAACAAAACAGCTAAAAACTGGGGGCTATAGGTGTGCTCATGCAGATTGTAAATAAAGAAACTGCTGCGTTTTAAAAGCGCCGATCAACACGAAGCCTCCCTTTGTCTTTATTCTTCTTGATGTCATTTCGCTCAGTAGGAAAAGAATCACACACGTTTGTGGACCTCAATTCATATTTAAAATGCTACATAATAATGTGAATGATTGAAGAAGAAAGAGGAAACCTTTGAAAGATTTATTTTCACAGTAATCAGAGGGAGGAAAAAAAGTGTTGATATTCTCACTTAAAATTCGGAATTTTAAATGTTACTGCAGGAAACAAAAATGTTGGTGAACATTAGAAACCAGAAAAGGGAAGAAAAAAAAAGTTTGGACAACAATAGAAAATGCTGGTAGCAGCACGTTGTTTTGGACTCAACGGTCTACAAATGAAACAACAAAATGCATCCAGTTGAATTTCTCCAGGACATGCTATTCCACAGGTTAAAGGTAATTACATAAAATGTATACAACAAGGGAAAAAGATTTATTATCAAATCTGAGAACAGTTCATTCTGTGCATTCATAAATAGTTAAATGCTCTCTTCCTCTCTCTCTCTCCCTCTATATATATAGATATAAATACCCTCTTCATAAGGTAGCATCAGTGTGTTGTACCTCCATGTGACTAGTTTGGGTAACTATAAATTTTCCTCTTCATATTGTGATTAACCGCAAGGTTGAAATCCATCCCAAAATAAGCACATCAGTGTGTTGAAAATCATATGTACTGCATGTGTTTAGATGAGTACTGAGTGCCACATGAGCTTCATCAGACTGCAGACCGTGAAGGGCAGGAAGGATTCACAGTCTCCAGACATACAGGAAAGATTTGGTGAACATCTCTACACGAGGCACTGAGCTATAGTAATGCACTTATTTCGCCAAATGCAGATGCATACAGCAGGTGTGGACAAATGGCGTGACAGCAGTATTTGAACCGAACCAAAAGACACTCTGCAGCCAGTCAGGGTCACATTCTTGTTCAGTTGCCAGCAGCGGCCTCCGCCTCCTTCGCTGCTGCCTCCTTTTTGCTCCCGTCCTTGGCGCTGCGGTTGAGGCTTCCATTCAGAAAGCTCTCTGCGGTCTGACGCTGGAAGTGCTTCCTGGTGCCCACCAGGGAGGGGTTGTTGACCAGGGTGTAGAGGAGCTGCCAGTGCCCGCGGGCCCTCTTGGCACTGGACACTTTGTTCTGTTTCTTCTCCTGCTGGACCAGCTGGATCCCTGAGGACGTTCAGACACGGTGATAGCACCCAAGGTAAGTCATATATACACACACACACATGTTACATAAAGAGATAACCCTTTTCATTCTTAACTGGAATGAGTAAAGCCTCTTTTGTAGGCCACCCAGGACTGGCTAGATACTAAAGAAAGAATAATAATAGAAAGCAATCATATTCTAATCCTCTAAGCATGGTGGGAGCATATTGGGCTTGCCATTAACACACTGAAAGCTGAAGCCCCTTGGGCTACATGAATATGTAACAGGCAATTAGCGTAGCTCATCTGTGTAATCAGCTACTCGAGAGTAATCTCTGTAATACAATAGATTATTCCTGATAATGCATTGTTTTCTAGATGGAAACAAGCAGCATCTCCACGGCACATGTGTAATTGGACTCAGCTGTTCCTGGATTCCACAACAACCCATGAGTCCTGGTGCATTCTGCTGCTAATTTCCTACAATAATGTATGTCTTCATGTCACCACACGGGTAGGCAGCCATCACTCACCTCTCATTTGTGTCAGTAGCATCACTGCAGATGGACAACCAGCCTTAAAGCAGCTGTTCAGGTAACTTAATGTATATAAAAGATGTACGGTTTCATTTGTATAAGTAAGACAACATATATAATACGGTAGTTGTTATGTAGTGACTGCATTGTCTTTGAGAGCTCAGAGTCATGATAGATGTGACTCAGACCAGCAGCAGGGCTGTAAATTATTCCACAGTGAGACTCAATTTGTTCTTGGCATATTAAATCAGAACTGCAAAGCTTTCATTTGGTCCGTGCGTGCGAGACAGTGTTATGATCCGATTATGTGTTGTGGTGACCTACCATTAAATTCTGAGCATCTCTGGAGAAATTAAAGGTGGCACAGTGCTGTAAATGCAGATATTAAACTAATGTTTATCTTTACAGATATTCTGGTGATGCTCCATATTTTTGTTGTTGTTGTTATGAAAAGGCCAAAACTGACGATAAACTGATTCCACTTACAGCTAAGGCCGAGGTCATTCCTCTGTACCTCAGAGCTCCATTATTGTCTAGAAACTAATAAAAACACCCTGTAGCACTTATTTTGAATAAATTCCACATGCATATTCCCACTGCTGTTACTCCTCACCAACCATGTGCACTAATTACAACTGAAACTAGACCCAAACAAATGCACAACATACTTGTAATCATTGTGCACTGCTGAAGAACTGAATCTACAATGTGAATGAGTGTCTGTGATGTGTACTGAGTTTTGTGCTACAAACCCTCTTCAGCGTCCCTTGACCTCTGTCCAGCTTTGCCGTCCTGGCCCACAGACTGCAGCAGCATCCCGCAGAAGGCCTTCATCACAGGGTGAGATTGGCTCACCTCAATCTTCAGATAATGAGCATAGCAGCGGTAGGCTGCAGACAGACACAGGGAGGGGGGGGATCACTCTGACTGGGCAAAAGCAATAAACACACAGGACTGCACCCCATGTTGGCTTGAGGCAATCACACATAATGGCTGTACAATCACACTTCTTTTTTTGTAAACCACCTGCTTTTCCGGACAACAGATGTCTTAAATCTGCAGCCATTTCAGAGATCGGTGTGCAATTAGAGTCCGTGCACCTCACAGAATACAGATATCATAGGAAATGCAGTGAGCTGGCAGAAGGGTAAAGTGGATGGGGGGAAAATTTCTAGCCTCTAAGTGGGATCACAAAAAGTGCATTTTCTCATGGAAAATTGCTTCCCTTGAAGCCAATATATTAAAAAGAAGACAGTTTATTCAAATGTAAAAGGATGCTGTTAGTACCTATCAGTATGTTAACACTGTGTGTCTGAGACTAAAAAAGAAAAAACCTGGAAAATGTAAAATATAATTGAACAGAACACACTCAGGCACTGAACTGCCTAGCAATGCTTTGCTGTTATATATATATATTTTTTCTTTTTGCAGACAGATAATTGATGCAGAACATGTTTTTGTTGCTGAGAAAGCCAAAGTACAAACTATCCATCCATGACATTGGATTCGGCCTGATGTTGTCACATGTTCATGTATACCAGACCATGACAATACGGCTGTGTGGATCATCATCTGGACACAGTGCAGAACAAACAGCTCACCAGGGTCAAACGCCTCCACATTGCGGTTCAGAAGACTGATATCCACACGTCCCATGTGGACTATGTTGAACAGGGCTGTGATGATTAAGCGCCACACCGCCAGTAGCACCCCGATCAGAACATTGACTGGAAACAGCAGGTATGTTAGCAGGAACAGATTACCCCTGTAAGAGAAGTTAGACTGTGTCAAACATACAGGGAGTCATCAGGGAGTAAAGTACAGTAAAGTAGTAAAGTAAATGCTGTAACTCACCTGTTGTCGAGGTCTCGTGTGCCTGCTATTTTTCTGATGAAGCAAAACCTGGCGGTGATGTGTTGAATCAACACCGCCAGGAGGATCATCAGCCAGAAGGGCCTGAAACAAAACCATCAGTCAAAGTCAAAGTCTTTATTGATACAAAAGAGACAGAAGGCACAAAAAAACGTTTAAAACAAGAAAAGATCTGAGCCAAATCCATTTCTGTACAACATGAATCCCGACTGAAAACCACTCCATGTGGCTAATTTCAAACAAAGAAAACAGCCTAAAGTCTGCATTTGACACAACAGTGATGTCAAAGAGGGGAATTACAGCTTGGCCAGACTGTGGAGTTACGACAACACTCACCACATGCTCCAGAGCATCTGGAAGAGAAACAGGTTCTCTCTGTGCAGGACAGGGATGATTATGAGGAAGACGGCGATCAGAAGGCAGAGGAAGAACACCATGGTCTGGATGATCATGCCTGCAGGGGGGAAGATCAGAGCTTCAGGGCCTCACCACTTACAAACTGTCCGGCATCCAACTCATCTACACCCACTCTCTTATATAACAGTGAAAGGAGGATTTCTTGGAAACCCTGACATGTCTCTGGTGGAGTCAGTCAGTCAGTGGCTAGAAAGATAAACCTGGATACAATTAAGCATCTGAGCAGAAAATCTACTGATAACATGGCAGAGTATGCTGAGAGCTTGTAGTGGTGAAGAGCCCACATGCAGCAAAGTCATTAATGTTTCATCCTTAGAGTATGTATGATATGATGCACAAACATAGTCTTCTATTTAAAGAGGAACAGTATTCTGTATTCAGCACAAAACAAACCACATCATGCACAAAATCTGAGGTATAGCAGCATCTTGAGGAGATTAAAAAAAAAAAAAGTCAGATAATTCTAATAATTCTGGCTTCACTAATTTTCCATCAGTGTGCCTTTGTACCGATGAAGATGTGAGCTGCTGTGAAGCTGGTGTATCCCATCCAGCAGACCAGTGCCGGCCTGGAAGCCCTGATGCTTCTCTGGCAGTTGTAAACATTATAGATATCTCCTCTGTACAGTCCCTTCAGATTTGACCTACAGAAAGAAAAACACAATCAAGACAATGAATGCTATGCAATACATAAACCAATTCATTACTAAATGCACAAATTACAGTAAATTGAAGAGGTAATTTAGCGCGGGACGCTACCGAAACGCAATTCAGCACTCTATTTGGAAAACCCATTTCTTTCAGCGCGATGTAATTTATGGTAATGGCAGAGTATTTCATTTCTTATCCTAATAGCCATTTTCAATTGTAGCAGCAGTTAACACGGAGTGAGCGCTTCTTTGTCTGCATGATTAGTGCTCTGTTATGTTACAATAACCATGACATGATAATGAAGGAATCAGAATGCAAAGCACATTCACAATTCTTGGAAACTTTGGCAAAAGAAAAGAAAACAAAAAGAAACAATAAAAAAAAGAGCTGGCACACAGTTTTGTCCTAAGACCTACCGATGCAGAACCATTGACCTCATGAGCATAGCCAGGTTGACCAGAGCAGACAGAGTCATCGCTGAGATGTAGCACACTGCAGGAAAATGAGCACATGACATTCATGCTGTCAATCACCGGCACCTCATATGCATGTAATATCACAAAATATGTACAACAAGCTTAAGAGACTCACCTTCTACACACCACATGTAATAAACCACTATTCGGACCACTTCATGTTTGTCCGGAGACAGAACAATCTTGAAACCAGCTAACAGGTTTGCAACATCTTCATCGACTCCCATACGAGCAGTCTGGAGTGACGGTACCACTGCCGAGATCAGCAGGAGACCCACCTAAAGACAAACAAGCCAGGACATTTATTTATCACCAACAAAAACTGCACCATAGCCGTAAAATTACTTCTACAGAACTGGAAATGACAATTGGCCTATGGTGTATTTAAATCATCATTTTACTATCACGTGAATAGAGAATGTTGCAGTTATAGTCCACTGACATCCAGGTGGTACAACAGCATGAAATATCATCTGATGATATTAAAACCCTGACTGATGTTAGAGTACGGACATGCCCAATATAATACAGATTTAAGAGATACTGTTTCCTTTTCAACACCTCAGAGATGTCCGAGTATCAACACTCGACTCTGCCAATAAGTGGTAGAAATATTACACTAAGTATATAATTACTACTGCATCCTTATGTAGTATAATATAGTTTACATAACATACATGGATTCTAGAGTATAACAGTAGATAAGGTGGTTACCTGATACACGGTTATAAACGACACCACACCAGATATAGCCAATTTGGGCGGAAAGCGGAAAGCTGAAGAAAAACAGTGTTAAAAAACATTAGCTGACGATAACGGAGGTTCACATCTTATCACTGCATCATTTGTCAGTTATAAATCTAGGATAAGATAACACAAGATCAAACTTCAGTCCCGAAGAAAATTCTTTTTGCCTGATATTGCTCACAAAACAAAATTACATAACACGAGCAATAAAATAGGAGTACAGTGCATTAGTGAAAATAAAAATGAGTGTGCTAAAATAATAATAAGCATGTTTGCATTGCATGCAGATGTGTATTTATGCAGATAGTCTACATGGCTTCCTTCTGTATGAATATAGAGCAACACAACCCATTCATTATTTATGCCAGCACTTCCTGCACTGTTATAATCTGGAACTAGCTTTGTGAAAGTTGTTTCACCTCTATGCTGTGTTCATTGTTACATGTGGAGTTATACAATTAACAGTTTTCTTTGCTTCTTTTATGCTTTTGGAAGCCAAACTTAGAGTCAAACTTTCTGTATACAACTGCATGTTTGGCCAGTAAAGCTGAGTCTGATTCCAACACTTAAAAGGTATAAGACATAAAACAAAGCAACGTATTTACCGTCCTCTGGTGTATAAATGTACGACTTCACAGCATCAATTATTCTTTGAGGGAGTTTGGGCTTGTCTGTGCTTGACGTGCTGAGGTGAAACATAAACACAGTTACAAATGTAATCACTGCATTTCACACCACGTCAGAGTGAAACATGCTGTGCAATCATCTTTAAACACATCCATTTAAAAAGAATGTGTTTCAACCTAAAAAGGAGGTAAACTTTCTCTACAAATTAAACAGGAAATGTGTTATGTAACGGTGTTTATTCATAATGACAACAGCCTCTGCATGTTGCTCTTTTGTATCAGTTGACCAATGGATATGGCAAGTTTTTTTTTTTCTTTTTTCTTTTCCAAAAAAAAAAAATCTAAAAATAGCTGTTGTCTCTTTGTCTGTAAGAGGACTGTAGCTGGCCAGCTGCATTCTTTCTAATCAAGATCCAATGTCAAGGAGCCCTTAACCCATTTCCTCTGGATAAAGTTTCTTGGAAATCCCTTTTGTATGTTCGAGAGCTGCTATTTCTTGTTAACTTGCTCCAATTCAGTGCATTTCGTTTGAAGCATTTGTGCATTTTAATAAATACAGCAAAACAAATCACTACAGGATTTAACAGATCTATACAACTGTCTGGCACAAGATTACCAAAACAAATTCGGAGACAAAGAAACGTGAATGTTTTCTTTCCAAAATCCCAAGTGACAGACTTGCATGTATCCATGACTACATTCCAGACTTGGAAACTCCACAACCACTGATATGAGTTTCCATCCATTCTCTATACACCGCTTAGTCCTCACTAGGATCACAGGGGGCTGGAGTCTATCCCAGCTGACTTAGAGTGACGGCAGGAGACACCCTGGACAGGTCACCAGTCTATCGCAGGGCTACATTTAGAGACAGACAACCAAGCACACTCACATTCACACCTACGGACAATTTAGAATCACTAATTAACCTCAACATGTTTTTGGACTGTGTGGGAGGAAGCTGGAGAGACCCCACGTTGCACGGGGAGAACATGCAAACTCCACGCAGAAAGATCCCAGATATCCTCATCCTCATGTTGCTGCAAGGCAGCGGTGCTAACCACCGAGCCACCTTGCAGCCCTGATATGAGTTTGCACAGCCTTTGTCTGGAAGTTGGGCTCTGGGGTTGAGATGCAGAGACTGGACCTTTGTGGTGTCTTTCTTTCCTTACTTGCTTTTTATGTGCTGTCTTCAATAAGCCATCAGAAAAGCCAAGAAGGTTTTATACAAAAACATCCATAAAAAAACATTTTAATCCAAATCGCAAGTTTTAGCAAAAGAAAAAAAAACATCATGAGCTAAAACTGTGTTTAACCTCAGAATTGAATACAAAAGTAAATACGGCTCAAGTTGTTAATTTGCAGCACTACACTACATTTGGGCCAAAGATAAGAAGAAAAAGGATAAAAAAATGATAATAAAATGTGTTAACAGGCTAAAATTCTCACCTGATTTTTGTGGCCTTCTTACTGAAAACTTTCTTCACGTAATCTCTATAGTAGCTGCTGCTGAGATCCTGCAGGAACATCAATCATGCAATGAACCAAATGACAGTAGGAGAAAGTGCATCTGTGTGGATTCTCAGTCATCCACGTCAATCCTTGGAGCTTCAGTAGAAAGCAACTGGACTTCTCTTTGAGGTACCTAAAGCAACTACCTGAAAGAGAAGTCCAGTACGAGGATAGTGTGGCAAAGCTGGAAAACTAATTCGATTTTTTTTTGAGGGAGGGGGCACAAAAGCTTCAGTCAGGCCCTCATATTCTTAAACCCTTTGGAAATTTATGCCATTCAGTAATATTTCAATTTAAAAGGCATTTTGTAATTCTTAACGTATGGAAAAAGCCTCCGTACTCCTTACAATGAGGTTTATGGTGTCAGGTACGTTCCTGTGCAGGAAGCTGGGGAGTCAGGGGTGACTCAAACTCCAGGTAATCGCCTCACCCAGCTTTGTCACACCCATGCCAAGATTAGCATCAAATAAACACAGCATTGTGTCTCCACAGAGAAAAAAAACAAGGCAACCTTTTCATAATCTGATCAAGAACATAACGTAAACCAATTACGTCAAATCTACTTAAAATGATTAGGCCACCACTGTGCTGCGTTGGACTTCACATTTTCCTGCAGCCTAGACTACATGAGCATGCTAAGTCCGCTGATTAGCAGGCAGCTTATAAAAGGTTTCTCATGTGCAAATATTCAGATTAAACGTGCGCCTCTGAAAGAGTTTTTAAAATAGTTCAGCTTTACAAGAATGTACTATTAATCAACATATACCCTTGTATGAGTTTGTTACGTAAGCGGCGCCATAAGAGCCGTGCAGCCGTCCCGAAGCGGGCATGTCAGGAGAACGACTGTCAGATCAAAACTTACCTCTGTGGCATTGTTCTTTTCAGTGCCCTTTAAGCCCTTGAATAGAAGCAAGGGATACTGGAAACTAAGGAATGCCAAGCAAGCAATCTGAGGCAGGCTGGAGAAAAGGGAGTAGTGTTTGTGTATCTGCAAAGGAATAAAAGAAGACTTTAAATCACCTAGCAACTCGTTGTGGGAGTTTTGGAGGGACACGTACATTTTTAAAATGACACAAAAAGTAGAAGAAAAAAAAAAAACAAAACAGTCTGCATGTTGGCCAAATGGGACGTTCACCAAAACACAAAGATCTGAGACCTTCATTGACCAAATACTTTTGTTTAGAGACTAAATGCAGATCTATTCTGAATATTTCTACGTTATTAACCAAATGCTGGGACTTAATAGTTTAAGTACTACATGTAATATTCTGTAAAATGTATTCTATTGTCTGTATGTGATTAACCTCCAATACCCGAAGCTTCACCACCATTTAAAAAAAAAAAACAACATTACACAATGTGCAGCCTGGATGTCTCTTTTACTGACACACACTAAAGTGATTAACTGGGACAAAGCCTCTTGATTAAGACGAGCAGACAGTGGAACTAATTGTTTTGAGTCGTAGCCATTCACAGCACAGAAAAAACCTCAACAACTTGGATGTGGGACAAAATCTGGGATTGGGTTTTAAAACTCTGACTGTATCAGTGGATCCGTCTTGAAAGCTCAATATTCACCTTTTCAAACCCCATCTCTTACATATGCCACAGACCAGCTTTGTCTGGTCGTCAAAGGGGTTTCCAGAACCAGAACAGACTAGCTTTGTTTTTTGAAATAATCCTTAACACACAGTAGAGAAAGTGGTTGAATGTAAAAAAATAAAATAAAAGTCCTGGAACTGATTCTGCACGTCTGTTCTCACTGATAATCAACAAATTGCAGCTCATTTGGGCATCGAAAGTGATCTTTGCTTACCAGAGGTGTCTTTGGACAGTCAATTTTCTGCCAGACCAGAACACCAAAGTGTGTCCATGACAGGAGGCTACCGAGTACATAGCCAACTTTATTATGTAAAGTGCCACATGCCAGGAGAGGGTAGTAAAGTGCGGGGTAGTAGAAGACTCCCAGGATCACCCAGTTCTCTGCAAATACAACAGAATTGTGTGAAGACCCAGAGCATCAGAAGTATTATACACTCATTTGTGATTTACTAAAACCAAGTGACACAAGATTTGACAAGTTACTAAATGTAGTTTCACTTCCACTCTAACTTCTGTCTAAAACTCTTATTAAAAAATTTAGGATCACACGGTGCTCAGCAGCAGCTGCTGTGTTTCCTCCTCTACTGTTTGGGGATTGTGTAAAGTAGCAGGGGGGCGACTCCTTACAGTCATTTCTTATGTAATTTTCAGACACAAAGCTTCTTGTAAAGCTTACCATCAAACTCCAGAGTCCGAAATAACGGAGATGCATGGAAACAAAATAATCCAATTATGTAACGCAGGTACAGTATTTAACAGAAGTAACATTTATGGAGATAAAACCCAATTGGATGCCAGTTTTATGTGCGAAGGTAAAAGCCAAAACCCACTGTAATTTATTGGAAAAGCAAACATTCAAAGCAGCTTTAAAAGGTTTACAGAGCGTGTGTGTGTAAAGAGTGAATCAGACAGGATGGAAGAACCAAGATGACCTCACGTTTGTTCTCAGAGTCTGTCGTGAAGGGGAGGGGATGCGGCGATATGATCAGGCCCCACAGTTTGCACAAGAGCACTCCAAATACAGCCACTGCCAGGCCCTTGTGCTGCGTATGATCCAGGAAGTTGACCGGACTGTGAAACAGAGCAGCAGGTATTTAGGGCTCACGTGTAACCAGACTCACATTATTGATCGAATGAGAAAGAATCAAACCTAAAAGGGACCATATTTCTATTTTTCAGTTTCAGCAAATAAACTTGCTTGATACTTCCAACAAAAATGACTACTAACCATCAGACGTTTGGAATTTGTCTACTTCACAGGCTGCCCTTGGCTTCCATTCATGTCATTATTATAGCATGAAAATCAATTTTGAGGCTGTAACCTTGCTTGAAACAGAAAAATCTGACAGTTTTCAGCCTCCATTAATCCAGTCACTGAGCATGAAAGTTCTCATCAGCACTGAGATCCAAAAACAAATCATTACACACAAGTTGCCCCGTATGATTACAGTTTTACCCCTCTGGCCAATGAGCAGCTCAACTGGAGGGGATTTGGGGGTCAATTTGAGAATTAATTGCGTATCAACCAGTCAGACGATTAAAATAGTGCAGATAAGATGTGTGGTTTTATTCCCTGCTGGGGTTTTCTTGTGCTTATGGGAAACTGTGAGGATCTTGACCTTAGAATTAGCTGCCCAAAACCTTTAAAAGTAAATAAAATGACAAATAAACTTACTGACATAATCTTAACAGCCATGTATCCTTTTGGTTTACTGACCAAATGAACACAGTGGGCAAAATTCATCTCCAATCTGCCCAATATTCAAGATTTTCCTTCTCAATAAAAATGTCTGCATGTTAAACTTTATTCCATAGTGAAACGAATGGAAGCCAATAATTGCTTTGGAAAATGGTAACAGTAGTGTCAACTGTGTACAGCTTTGTGCTTCTGTAGCAGTTTCACATTTAACCAAACAGTTTCTGGAACCATAAGACAGTAAAATAAGCCTCACCTGAGTAAACCTGGGAGTCCTTTCTGTCTGTCGCCCACCTTCATGCGCCTGGCTAAGATCGCTAGGATCAGCATGACAACGAGCTAGAAGAAGAGACATCTCAGTTAGCTTTGTCTGCGGCGCACAATGCAGTCGTGGATTCCCCAGAGTTCAGGCCTCACCCTGCTTCAGACTAAAAATGAGGGGAGTCTATACCACAAAAGGTCTCATTAGTGCTCCCCGTGGATGAGGTCTGAATGAATTGTCATCAGTCAGGATCACTGACCAGTGAGAGTTCAATGACCTGTCACGACCTGCAACACATTTAGGAAACACAAGGCTGGGAAGAATGCCTTTCTTTGAACTGGGTCAGTCTGGAGCAGCTACCAGGACCACCTTTAGCTGGACAACAAGAGAAAGTGAAGATGTAGTCGCGTCATGTGAACATGTCAGGAGAGATCCAGGCACATGTACAGTGTTAGATGCAAGTGAAACTATAACAGCAGTGAAGCTTACTTATTGTAAAGAAGTATTAATTATTTGTGCTTGGGATCAAATTGCTAAATCTGTGGTGGATTATTATACAATAAATGTGTGTTTGCATTACTGAATTCATGTGCTCAGACAAGGTTGCAACATTTTCCAAATCTGATAAATTAAGTCAGCGCTCTGTTATGAATCCTGTAATTGCTCCTCAGGCCCAAATCCACACCAGGATTATTTGTTCTTTGGCTCATTGCCCAACATTTTATCCAATTTCATTAAAGCCTTTGCACAACTTCTTCCTGTGCACAACATTTTCAGATATTCTTCTACACAAAAGAGTAACTTCCTTATTGAAGGCATTTAGACGAGGCTGACTTTATCGAAGAGCGGAAACCATCATATCCCAGTGCAGCACATCATCAGACACACTTGCATGACGGTGAATGGCAGGACAGCGTAATGTGGTGTCACAATAATCCAGCAGGAAGAACTTACAGATATCGCAGTGATGCATATGTGATAGAGCCTGTCATCAGCTGTAGGGTCACATGGAGGGATTACTCTAAAACACAAGGGAACAAAACACATGAGTACAGTAATCTATCTTAAAACTTAAGGCTCTGAGTCACTGAGCTGACCTTTAGTGTACCTCGCTAAACTTTTCACACGTCACTGTCAGAACCATTTGTGGCTGGAAACTGTGTAGCTGAAAATCCCGCAGCAGAGATTTGCATTTAAACGGATTGGTATCAGCGTGACACAGGAAAACAACAAATGCCTATGTTCACGTTCCCGTGCACGAGAAGAGCAGGAATGCTTGGTCACGGGGTGGTAATTACAACTCAGAGGTTGGAAGACTTATTTAGGATAACGCTGCGTATACAGTATCATCTGTGAGCATGAAGGTGGCAGCTTCCAGAATTAATGTTTTAATACCTCTTAGCTGTCCAAACAGTGTGTGAATTTGTTACTCGGCACTCGAAGAGAAGACCATAATTAATTTAAGGAAACGTCTAAATTCACATTTGCAGAGCGAGAGCTGGCTGACGAGGACGTGCAGCGGGACGTTTTAGTGTTTACAAACCAGTTAGTTAAAACTGGAACTGAGCTACAATAGCGGCCACAGAAAAACCACAATTCACCAGAGTCAGAAAGCTTATTGGCTAAACATGGCGGCTTTTTCCATCGTATTTCTGTCATATTGTTCATCTGAGGCCCTTATTAAATATCTATCTTGTTCCATTAAGTACTCTGTATTAGTCAAAACAAGATGGAAAAGCAATTTAGATGTATGAAAACATCCAAAATGAACTAAATGGAAGTGTAGCTGCATCGTGGGACAGCTTATGAGCTTAGAACGATGCTTTAAGATTGCTTTAACGTGCTGCGTTTTCCCCTTTTCTGGGTGAAAATGTGCACAGTAAAAGGTTGATTCAATTTTGGGGTTTAATGCACAAAAGTTTTGCTCATACTTTCGTACTTTTTCCTGAGAAGTTCAATTGGCAAAACCAACCAGTTTCCAGGACAACTTGCACCCGCAAACATGAAAATGATATAGTTTCAACGTGACAAATAATATGAACTGAAATAAGACCACATACTGACGCTGGCACTGGAGAAGTGTGCCAAGTGTCACCCAATAGCTCAATGAGAGTTGGATCTCACGGAAAAACTGCTGAAACTTTGAAAAGTTTAAGGAACTACTAATAAACATTAATGAATGAATAAACTGATTTTATAGTAGTGATTTCTAGACAAACAGTTGAAGTATACAAAGTAACATTTAGAACAAGATTTAAAGTCTGGATTAAATAAACTTGAGTTTTCAGAAAGATTCTAAGTATGTACTTACTCTGCTTCAATTTTGGTTGGCAGAGGGTCCAGGTCTGGGTAATCATAGTCCAGAATAGCATCCTTATCCATTGTGCTTTCTCTTTTTCAAACAGATCCCTCGTCTTATAAAGGAGTACTCTCCGCTGAAATCTCTTGCGACACGCAGCTGCGATCCCCTTGTCTCAAGGGGAAAAGGTGGCTCCCAGGTCCCACGTTGGACTCTGTTACTGCTGCAGAGGCGCCCTCGTCTCTCTGTGTTCGGTCTGCTCTCACTTACACTCTGCTACCCTCCCTCACAGTCTGCATTCAGGTGCCCTGGTCCCTCTGTGGAGCTGAGAGTAATGTGACAGGTCCTGGCTGCAGCGTGTTGCCTCCACCCTGCAAAGGCCCTATTTCAGCTGAGGGTTACCACCACACCAGGAGCCTGGGGAAGAGAAGTGAGAAGGGGGGGCAGTGTGTGAAAGGAGGGAAAAATGTGGAGATCTGGGTAGCCAATCTGGAAGGCCACCTGCGGCTTACAGGGATTACATCTACTTTTGGAGTTTTGTTATTGGACCTGTTGCCGGCGGCGGAAGGGGTCAGGTGTGCTGAGTTATAAAACTTCAGCTCGGACTGTGTGGGTAGCTGGCAGCAATGAGCCTTTCCTATCGGAGATATGGGAGTTCCACATAGATAACAGGGACATTTACATGTTGTTCCCTTCAGTCATGGTTCAGTTATATTTATGAAAGGTTACCCAAACTAAATCCAGGTAAATCACCACCGCTACATGGAGTCAAATAATGCGGGATGGAAGTTGTATAGCAAAGCCGGTCGGATGGATCCTCACATCAGATCATAGCTTTGCACCTTCAGCTTGATAAGGAAGAGTTCATTCAACTCAGTACTTTGTCTTCTGCAGATAAATTAAGATAACGGTGTCCAAGTGCATATTCATGTGAAAATAGATTTCTGGGTCGGATACCTTCCTCTTTACTCTGCCACATTAGTATCAAGATATTAAATTTTTTTTAAAGTTTGCCCCAAATAGCACAGCAACTCATCTTGCAAACTACTGATAAAGATCTTACATGTATAATGAGAAAAGAAGAAAAATCTGTGGGTTCAATAGAGAGCATGATTTGTGAATGACATGGATTTAACAAACGGTGCTTTTGATGGTGACACTTAAAATCGTACTCAACAATAAATGTGGGCTTTTCTCCGTCATATGGACAGTTGGCTGGACATCACAAATGTGCCTTAGATGATAAATTCAGCTACTACTGCACAATGATATGAATGATAACATCAGTCTGTAATAAAATCTTATTGTTAAAAGACGCCTTTCAAAAGATTACTGATTGAGAAGCAAATGCTGTTATATGTGGCTCCCACTCTCCTAACACTTGCTGCTTCCTCAAATGTGAGGATTTCCTGCTTTGATCACTGTAAACTAAATATCTTAAGTTTTGGGCTGTTGATTGAAAAAAGCAAGATATCTGAAGATCTCACTCTGGTGGGCATTTTTACACCATCCTACCATTTTATGGCTAAATGCTTAATTGCATAAACGAAAGATATCCACAAATTAACCAGTAATCAATATAGTTATAGTTAAAGCTCTAAAAAGCATCACCTGGCTTGTTTGTAAGCCTTGTATGACCTGACCTATAAGCCAATATGACAGCATGGCTTTGTTTATCTGATTACACCAGGTTGGATCTTGTTCTCAGTGACGGACCGACTCCTGAATCAGGAGAAATCACTTTTACATATTAAACCAACAGTTGTCTGGATTTCTGGGGGTTCAGTGCATCTACATTATCATTTTCTCTAATTTTTTTATTTCTTTTTGTATCCTCCTTGTTTTACTATTGCTTCAATCTAAGGACACCATTTGGGCAGTAGGTCTTTCTGATTAAATTCAAGTCGATTAATGATCACCAACCGCCTCCAGCTGAAGTACAGCACAAGCATGTGAGTGTCATAAAAACAGACTGAGGTCAAGGGTCACGGCAACACCCTCGCTCCAATTATTTCCTTTCTGCAACAAGTTGAACAAAGCAACCCTGAATGCACTTACATTTTCATGTTTCTGCGCATCATTGCATACATAAAAAAAGCTGCATATCTCCTGTGCGATACATCTGCAGAGATCTGCTCCTGTATTCAGCTGCAGGTGGCTGAGACTAAGTCAGTTCTGCAACACTGCCTCCCTGTCAGCGTACGCTCATTATACCAAGATTACGGTCACACAACTTTAAAACGCCACCAAATTTCCCCGCTTACACTCTTGAGAAAACGTAGTTTCTCAAGCATAGTAAGCCACCAAATCAAATGTGCTCCCAAAGAAACAGCAGCCCAGCAAATAAAGGGGTCACTGAACAAAGAATGCTTTGAACAGTTACATCACAGAGAGGCGGTTTGATTGAGCCAGACAGTTCACTTGTATCAGGTTTAGGAAGTCGGCTCAAAAGCCTTTTTGGTAGGAACTATGTTAAGCATGAGCCTTGTGAAAACAAACATAATTGAATTACTGATTTAATCCATTTTTAACAATGTAAACAGCAACATCATCAACGGAGACAAGCCACGCATTAACCAACTAATTAAACCCCAGACTCAGTTAACCGCAAATACCTCCAGAGCTTAAAAAAAGATGCTCCCACAATCCTTCACCAGACAAAAAATACTTGTAGATATAAAAAAATACTGTAAAAATCTGATTTGTTTCCAATGTTTACTCTACTTCTAAAAATTCTGGGTTCATCTTGCATTCGTCTGAGCCCTCCATGACCATGAGTGCAGCTGAAGATGTCCATTTGGAGAAGACGGTTTTGATAATTATTTGTGATGTCCATAATATGATCAATCAGGGAGTCAGATTAATTACCTCCATCTGTTTTCACTTTCCACCGTTTAAAACGATGCAGAGCATCAAAGCAGCCACATCATCTCACAGCTGAGCAGCCTGTCTGCTGTCTGTGGAGCTCAGCTGCAGGAACCAGGCTGGATTCGGTTTCAAACAGACATCACGGACAAATTTCATGCCTTTGAAGTGGAGCTTGGTCCTCTGAACAAAGACGCTTCCAGCCTCAACAGGTAACTCAATCACCTGAGCCCCCGCTGTTCCGCATGTGCGACGGACTTTCCAGTAACTTTTCCATGACGATTTAAATCTGCCTTTTTATTGTGCTTTGTACGATCATTGACGTGCGCCTCTCAATGGAAACACTGACTTGTAAAGGTTCGCTGCAGGTGGCTGTTTGTTGTGTATTTTATATCAACGCTTTTCTAAACTCCGGTGCGTTCGAGTACTTACCGAGCACATGTGGAGGTGCAGGTAGGCGTGGAGAGACTGACGGCTCACCTCATCACACACTCATTTATACATCTAGCAATAAGGTGGACTTTGGGCATCATCTGACTATATCTGGCTCCTAATTTCCCCCCCAAAAACATCACTCCAGACGAGCCCAGGCTAGTCCACTCAAACTCAATTTAGAATTAATATCTTACCTTGTGTTAATCTGCTGTTTGTCTTTTAGTTTGAAGGGCTTCACATGACTGAGTCTTCATGACTTTTCACAGCAGAGAAGTGGAGAAGTTCATTTATTGCATAAACAACAAAAACCATCTCTGGAGCAACTTTTTCCTTTTTCTAGTCACTTCTTTCAGTGCTAAGGTGGGACTTTGAACTGTCTCTATCTGACTGTGGTGGAAGCATCATAAAAGTGCTGCTGCATGCAAACTGCATGCAAACCGCTGTTGTGAAACATATAGAGGTGACTGTGTGATTAGGTGACTAGTGTGGTCAAGTTCAAGTCATATGTTGGAATCTAAAATACAGTCACAAGCAAACAATGTTAAAACTGTTGTCTTGTGGGTGCGCCTTTTAGTTGAAATGAATTTATCCTAAGATATTGTTTGTTTCATTGTTTAAGCTGTGTTTTTATGTTATGTATACTCGGTGACCTTTGTGACAACCTGCTGGGGTTTTATGGTCTGTTGACATTTTAGGCCAAAGAGGGAGTTATTCCTGCGTCAGTTGCATCAACATGTTTTGTAAAGCTGGGTAGGAATTTTATAGTTTCGTCACAGCGCAGAGGAGTTCCAGCCACAGAGAGTCGATGGTTGGGAATGCGGTTGAGCAGATGTGAAGTCCATCAATAACCTGGGGATCGAAGCGTCCTTCAGACTGGTTCTGGAAGCACTGTGGAGACCAATTTAGCTCAATTTAATTCATACAGTGCAGCACAAGTCATCTAAAGGTGCTCCATCGAATAAGACCTAACTAAATTATACCCAACAAACCCAAAGATTCCCTTTGAGCAAGCTTGGGGAAGAAAAACACGTCCTTAACAGGAAGAAATCTGTGGCAGAACCAGGCCCAGGGAGGATCTGCCTCAACCAGTTGGGGAGAGAGAGAAAAAAACAGCAGCGTTTCAAACATTAATAAGCAAACAAAAAAGCACTGAGGAGGTTGGTGAGGCGAGTGACTGCAGATCAGAAACAAGTAGTTCTGTAGCCAGACATACCTGCAGAAAAAACAAATTATGGAAGATAAGAGACAAAGTTGTTTACATACAGTAGTGACATATAAATGTAGAGCAGAGCAGTTCAGTGCATCATGAGAAGTCTCCCAGCAGCCTGGGCCTATAGCAGCATAACTAAGAGATGGCTCAGGACCATCTGAGCCAGCCCTGACAGTAAGCTTTATTCAAAAGGAAAGTTTTAAGCCTAATCTTAAAAGTAGAGAAGGTGTCTGCCTACTGAACCCAAACTGGGAGCTGATTCCTGAAGTAAACCTGCAGTCTGAGAGAGAGAAATGTTCTGTTGGGATAATATGACACAATAAGGTATTTTAAGATATGATGGAACTTGGTCATCAAGAGCTTTATACATTAGGAGAAGGATTCTAAATTGAATTCTGGATTTTACAGGGAGCCAGTGAAGTGAGGCTAATATGGGAGAAACAGGATCTCTCTGGCTGGAAGTGCTCTGACTGCAGCATTTTAGATCAACTGGAGGTTATTGGGACATCCTGATAATAAGGAATTACAATTGGCCAGGCTACAAGTAAGAAATGCATGGAGTAGTTTTTTGGCATCAATCTGAGACAGGATGTTCTTTATTTTGATGATATTGCACACATGAGTGAAGGCCTTGTTTTAAGTGTGAGTTAAAGGACATATACTAGTTGTCAGTGTGTACAGCAGGGCTTTCATTTGTTACTTCATAATTAATTTCATGAAGTTCACATGAAGATCAAAGCTATGTTTGTCTGAGGCTCCTGAAAAAGAGGCTGATGTTAAACCTATGGTGTACTGTGTTTTCTTGTGATGCACTGAGGGCAGCTGGTGTATGTCTCTTCATAAAGCCAAACCATTTGTAAAGTGCATCACCAAATCTGTTTTGTTTTTTGGAGAAGAGTGCATGTTGACTCCTCGGGGAGACGATTTAGGCTCTATTCAAACACCAGTTCTGGGGCTACAACAACACCAGAGACAAATCTCACCTTCCATTTTTTCCAAACCAAGGAATAACAATGCTCATCCCCTCAATTGAGTCCAAGGCTCACACAACTGTTATTCTTCTGGAGTCTGTCTTCCTCATGCTGAAATCTTAATTGTGAACTTTTTATGCTTCCTGAAGAGTCCAGACGTGTTCGTTACACACCAGGATAACATGACCTTCTTGTGACCTTTCCATACAAGTAAGTGAGCACGTCCTCCTTTTACTGGCGTTTCCCAGTAATTCAGCCTATTTTTATTAAACTTGAACACTAACTCAGAACAATTCTTGAAAGCAAAGGATCACATCATGTTCAAAACCTGCCATCTTAATTATTAACTCGCTGACTCCAGTTTTTCTTTAGGAAAAGACACAACAGAGTCAGCAAACTGCAATGACAGCTGTTCCAAAACACAAAGGCTGATATCAGTGAATTAGAAAGTCTAACACAGCGCATGCTTGAATTCGACTTTTCTTCAATCTTTGTTTTATGCTCTGTAAATATTAACATTTCATTGTTGGCAAAGTCAATTCAAATCGAGTAATAGTGAGAAATATTGCCTCTATATTAAATCATGGCTCCTGAAGGCCTCCTGGGTGCAGGCGGCTAATTACTGGGGATATTTTTCTCCCGCTCAGTCTGCTGCGCTGCCTCTGTCACAATCAATGAGCCTTGTAACACTCAATTAGAACATAATTGGATTTGTGCATGTTCGAGGTGGAAAAACGTACATTTGAGCGGACATGAAAGAACTGCTTATCTCTGTTGACAGCTGCAATGAGGCTGAGTTGGGTTGGCCAATTGTAAATTTCAGAAAAATGAAGTCAGTGCAAGCATATTCCAGCGCATCCCCTCCCACTTTACCCCCAGACACCTTACATTTGGCTCAGTTCACACAGCTTTACATCATAATGTTTGATTAATAATTTACACTTGGGCACCTGGCTGGAACGAGATGGATCCACGTGCAGTGTTCATACTGTATACGTTCTACATTTCAATAACATGAGAAGAGTTGACTGGTTTATGCAGTTAAGAAGTAAAATAACTAATAATTTATGGCCAAAGGAGAAACTGTAGAGCTTCTCCATTTTAAAATGTATAATGCACAGTAAATAAAATACAAAACAATTGTCACAATAATGGTAATGCCTCAGGCGTTTGCACAACTGACTGGAGTGCATGGTAGCCTAATCTGCAAAAGCTGATTTTCTTTTATTTTTACAAACCCACATCACATTGCTTATGTACTGTTGAGATTAGACACATTCAGCCTTTCACAAGTGTTAAAATTTTATAGGGCCCATCATTAAAAACTATTTTCCACTCATAAAGCTGCCAAGCCATGATATCTAGCTAACACTTTTTGTTATTGGAAGCTAGTTAGCATAGCTTGCTGATAGTGCCACTGATTTCTGGGATATGTCATAAGAACTGATCAGTAATACTCCTGCGGACCTCACCTGCATGTTCCTACACCGTTAACTTTACATTCAAATGACAGCACACACATGACATTTCATTCTCAAGCCTTTGATGGAGTTTTAAACATATAAACACTAACTGGTTTCACAAAATTCTCAACACAAAAAGTGATATTGATCTCATTTGCAGTTTCAGGCGTCCTGTTTCTTTGATTGGCAGCGTTAGGTTGAAGAGGATTCTTTTGCGTTGCAATACTGCAAGTGGCCACTGGGGCAAAATGACAGCAAAGGTAATGATACCCTCTTAATACATCCATTGCTGCTTTCAGTTCTACTTTTTTTCTTTCTTTCTTTTGTTGTTTAACAACTTCTGATTCAGCAGCAGCTCTCCCACGCTCTGCACTGTTTTTTCCACGATATAAAGAAGCAGACAGTCTAGTTAGCATTAGCCATGTTTCAGCTGTGGGATCTGATTTGATGACCAATGGTGAGACATAGACTATAGATAAAAGATGGACATAGCCACCATTAGGTCACCTATTAGTCAGTGGACTACTGTTATAAAGCCTTGAATTTGGCTGTTTGGATGGAACGACTTGTCAGTCACAATGTAGCCACAGCCTAAAACATATCCTCTAAATGGAACCACAGGAAAATAAACATCATGCTCTGTTGAAGGTGACTTAAAATTAGCGATTGAGACCATAAACTCATGAGGAAAATGTTTACTGAGGTAATAAATCAAGGGTGAAGTTTGATAATTTTCTCATAGACTTCTGTATTATTTGACTTCTTTTTGCAACCAGAGGAGTTCCTGCCCCCTGCTGGCCATTTGAAAAAATGCATGTTAAAGTATTTTAGTGTTGGCGTCACATTTTAGACCTTTAGCGTCGATCTTTCATATACAGTCTGTGGGCTAAAAACTGTCAAAGCAACAGGTAGTCCTGCAAACTCCACACTTCGCACAAAAACATTATATTACCTCCCATTGCAGGTGCCGACATAAAAACATTGTCTATGTTAAAAATCACCTGCTAAGTAATAACAAGTGAGTCGTGATGTTTGCCTTTGTATTTGCAAAATTCTTAGTGTTGTGTAATACTATTAAAAATTGCAGGATGGCGCAAATAAAACAACTGACAGAGCAATTTTCTGCAGTGGTTGAGCAATACATGTGTCACTAATGATACAAGAAGTAATTACGATAAGTATTTTGTCACAGTGGGATGTCGGGAAAGCAGAAGGTACAAATTCAGATTAAAACCAGACAGCTAGTTCCCTACTCAGGAGCTGATTGGGGAACTGGGTGGACATCTGGTGGGTGGAAGAGGTGATACAAAGAAAACAAAACGGGACTCCGAGCTAAACTGTGATAGTGTCTAAAATCCAACCGAGTCTGACACCCGAACCCTGAAATCTAATCAAAATGAATTCACTTGATTTTGTTCTTTTTGGTTATTTTAGTTTCCATCAATGACTCACAATGTGTAGATTAATTTATCAACAAAATGCTTTACCAGAGGTGACAACAGTTTTCATCTGAAGAGTTGATCTAAAGCACTTTCCAGCTATGCACTGGGTTTTAATAATGCTTTGTGGTAGGTGAGCTTCCATATCACATTCTGACATCTCATGTTGAACCCAAACAGCCGAAAAATCAATTTCAGTCACACAGGTCGTTTCTGTTTTGATATATCACTGTTATTGCGGTAGGCCGGGAGTGAAAGATTTATTTCCCCGTTTATGAGCGCTGAGAATGGGACGTTCTATCTAAGGAGCCCGTGACAAGTACAAATCTTCCTGATAGTTATTAAAGTGGTCGTGATCACTTTGCCGCCGCAGACGCTGGCGTGCAGCGCTCAGTCTGTCACGTTCCTGCTGCGATTGCCTGACAAACACCTCGAATTTATAGAAGGGAGACGGGGTCGCGTCCGTGTAATAATCCTCTTTATATAACCGTTTGGTGAACACCTTGGAAAACACACTCAAGAATTTGATTAGAGTTTCATGATCTGTTTATCTTAAATGCCAGCTTACACTTGACGTTTAAATACATCCTAGACATCATAACCAGTGTGATTGTTGGTTTATTAGGTACACCTTTACTAGCTCTTCTCGTGTGTGCAAACGGAAATATTGCCTAGTTATATAACAAGCAAATTATCGTTTAAGTTCTTGGACAATTTAAGCTTTGCAAAGGAAAATGTATGACAATGCTTTACCTAATAAACTCAGTGTGTGTGTTCTCTTCAGTGGAGCTAATAGATAAAACACTGAACATATAGAGAAAGGATTCTCTCAGTGTGTGTGTGTGTTGATGTCTGTTTTAGTTGGGGTGTTGTGCGTGTCAGTGTGATAGATGATGTCCTTGCCGTGGCCTCTAGTTTGTCATCATGTGTGTGTTGTTTGGGTGGTCCGTGTATGCATAAATTTAAAGGCTTTGCTGATGTGGGTCATGTGTGCAGTGGGTTATTGGTTTGTTGTTGAATTTGAGATGTCTTATCTCGTGCCTGGAAGGGAGAAAGTTCAGTCCAACTGATATGTTTTCACGACCTTTAATTTTTTTTTTTCCTGGAATCACAAGCAGGATTTCCTTTGTTTGTTGTTTTATCTTGTACTTTGTGGTTTGAGAGTGATTTCATTATGTAAGTATGTGTGTAAAAGGTCAATAAACTACACTTTAGCCATTGAAACTTCCCTTTTCAAATCAGAAAAAAAAAACACAACAAAATGTCTCCATAATGACAAGAAAATTGTTTTTTTTCTGCTTTAACAGAAATGCTCCCCCACACAGTTTATCAGAGAAAACTATTATAAATATGGATTTCCCACTAAGGCAACACCGTCTGATTGGGGATTTGCATTTCTCACATCTCAGAGTTTTTAATTGTGAAATGAAAAATCCACCCCAGCATGCCTAACATAATTGCCATCAAAATTTGAGGTTTGCCAAGTGCTCCCAAAAGAGCTAATTGAGGGCAGAGAAGGTCTGATTCTCTGAGCGCACAGGGTTTTGTAATGTACGTGTGGGCGATTGCACTCAGTCCAGAGATGTGTGTTGTTGTCTTGTATCCGCTGCATATAAAAATAGCTTTTAGATGGTCTCTGATTGTATATGTGTAGCAGAAATGGAAATGGGAAACCACCGAGCCTTTTGTTCAGGAACATTTAAAGTAATATTTGATTTTAAAAATGCAAAGTATCAAATGTTTTGCCGTCACTAAAGTGGTTCTTATTTCGCAGGGTTTATAAAGCTAATATCTGAATATTCTGCCTTTCAGTAGGGCGGCATTTGTGCCACAGGGACTGAGCTTGACCACTTTTCATAAGAGAGGACGCCTCCTGGCCTGTAAAGCGTTAGATTTTTCTGATGAATAATGTATTCATAGTCTGAAGCTGCAGACGCGTCTCACTGTGTGTTCAGAGATGCTTGACTTTCACACGTCTCTGCTGGAATGAGGCTGAATCAAGAGCTTGTCTCGGCTATCAACAGCTGTGGGGAATATCCTGCTATGTGCAAAAGGCACAAAGAGAAATTTCTGCTATGTTGGGATATTTCTCAAGCTGCATGTTGGCTTTGGAGGCGTTATGATGGTGACTGTATGAACACACAGGTTGGACTCTGTCAGCTTTTACCAAAGTTCCATAGCATGAATTTGACTGAAATTACAGGTTGTTTTGTGTTAATTCTCAATATTTTTTGACAAAGTAAATCTAAATACAACCATATTCTACCAGTTTCATCACCATCGGAGGATTTCTTTTCTTGCAATATGAGTGAAACTGCATGAAATTCCTACAACAGCATTTGTTATGAAGCCTGAGAGTGCCCTGCTGTAGCTGCAGAGGATCAATATTGAGGATCATGTTGCTTCCATTGGGCACAAAAGCAATTAGATCTGTTTACCTTTTTATATTAAAAGTTATTGTAACATAGAATAGAAGGTTTCTGAACAGCGTAGGGCTTTACCTCCTGTCAGTGGAAGGGTTTGAACCTGCAATGAGTTGCTTAAATGGTTGTTCTTCGAGCACCAATATAAAGGTAGTGTTGCAGTAAAAAGCCTTTTTACAATTTGAAAGAGTTTCAATATATTTCTCACCTCCTGACCTCCTTTTATCGTACAAAAGCTTTATGTGATGAGTAAAGTGAGATTTCTCCTCTGATATCACTCCCGTCGCTGTTAATGGATTGCAGTGGTTGCTTTGAAGACAGGGGAGTGGTCAGCGAGACGATTTGTAAAAGTCACTTCAGTACAAATGGCCGGACGAGCGGGAATCTGGTGTGTTTTCTGAAGCTGCCGGTAAATCCCCCCGAGAGCGTGGTGGTGCCATCTCACAGCATGTTCCCCCTGCAAAGATGACTCGTGCTTGACTCTGCTGGCAAAGGACTGCTCTCCACATGTCACAGAGTGAACAAAGACACTAAAGGAGGAATGCCAGGAGCCATAAATAAGGTTTTGGTAAACATAGACTGACAGAAAAAGCTAGTGAAGTGAAGGACTGGTGTGATCCTTGATTTAACTGTTAGATTTTTCAGATTCAGGATTTGGTTTAAAAAAAAGGAGGGTGGTGATTCTTACAGGCAGGACTGATTGTCAAAGCAACATTTTGGTCTTTGTTTTCTGCTGTTTGCATTATGTGATGTTATGTCTGCAGCTCAGCCTATAAAATGCACAATTGAATTTAGACATATTGCAGTCATGAAGTAATGGAGTTTTTTAGGACCATCTGCCCAGTATTATGTTACTGCATTTGCTCTTACGATTTCCCCTGATGTATTATCAGTATTGCTTTTGAAATCCACCTGCTGTCACAGTGACATCATGGTATCGATTCCCCGGATGACTGCCACTTGGAACTGAGTCATGTTTCCCGGAAGGGGTTGACGATAAGCCAGTGAGGAAGCCCCTGTGGGCATGGTACAGGCAGGGCAGAAAGCATCACGTCGCTTCTGGTTTGTCACTTTTTTTTTTTCTCTTTCATTGCAATGCTTCTTCAAAGATGATTTCTGAAACACTTCTCATAACATCACAGACCCTACCTTCCTCAGTGGGATACTCAGCGTGTGATTGGATCATAAAAACCCCTCCTTGAGCTGATGGAGTCACACTGCTCTCTTTCACGTGACCTAGACCTTAATTAGTACGGCAACAGATTGTCATTTGCATGTACGTGCCCCAGTGAGTAGATGGGAGGTGATGTATGGAGGGGGGGGAAGGATAGCAGCACTTCAGGGCCAGTTTGCCTAACAGACCCTGAAGGTACAGCCAATTCAGAAGTGTTGTTGTAG